TGAGTTTTGAAGACCCAGTCCAGCCTTGCCCTCATCACCTGGCTTGGGCTGAGGACAGACAGGGACAGAAACAGGCCCACCTGGGGCTCTGGGCAGGGGTCCTGACAGCCTCTAGGGCACCCCTGGGCACCACCAGCCTAGGCTGGGCTCAAGGGAAAGGGGCTGCAAGGGAGTCGGGTGTTCCTGTCCCAAAAGCTGCTCTCAGGGAGCCCCATGAGAGACCCAGGGGGGAGGGGCGTCAGATGCGGGGTGCACAGGAAGCTATGCGCAGTCTCTACCCAGTAAACATTCACAGTCTCCCTCCCCACCCCCAAAACCTACAGTTGGGGAGGGAGTGACCACCTGGGGGGGACTCACAGCTCACAGTCTCCCTCTCCACCCCCAAAACCTACAGTTGGGGAGGGAGTGACCAGCTGGGGGGGACTCACAGCTCACAGTCTCCCTCTCCACCCCCAAAACCTACAGTTGGGGAGGGAGTGACCACCTGGGGGGGACTCACAGCTCACAGTCTCCCTCTCCACCCCCAAAACCTACAGTTGGGGAGGGAGTGACCACCTGGGGGGGACTCACAGCTCACAGTCTCCCTCTCCACCCCCAAAACCTACAGTTGGGGAGGGAGTGACCACCTGGGGGGGACTCACAGCTCACAGTCTCCCTCTCCACCCCCAAAACCTACAGTTGGGGGAGGGAGTGACCACCTGGGGGGGACTCACAGCGGGCTTCACGGTGGAGGCAGCATTTGGGGGGCCTAGAAACCGAACGTGGAGGTTGGGTTGAGAGTGCTCCAGGGAAGAGAACCAGGCAGGGACAAGGACAACGAGGGACAGAGAGACTGCAGGTATGTGTGCATGTGTGTGTGCATTCATGTGCCTATGTATGAGTATGTGCACATGTGCAATTATGTGTGTGCATATGCGTGCATGCATGTGTGCCAGTGTGTGCATGTGAGTCTCTGTGCCTGTGTGCACGAGTGTACACATTCGATTATGTGTGTTAGGGTATATGCATGTGTGTGTACATGTGTATGTGAGCATGTACATGGGAGTGTGTGTGCCTGCGTGCAAACGTGTGTGCATGTGTGTACATGTGCATGTGAGAGTGTACGTGGGCGTGTGCACATGTATGTGCCTGTATGCGAGTGTGTGCATGTGCATGTGAGAGTGTGCATGGGAGTGTGTGCATGTATGTGCCTGTATGCGAGTGTGTACATGTGCATGTGAGTGTGCATGGGAGTGTGTGTATGTATGTGCCTGTATGCGAGTGTGTACATGTGCATGGGAGTGTGTGCATGTATGTGCCTGTATGTGAGTGTGTGTGCATGTGCATGTGAGAGTGTACATGGGAGTGTGTGCATATATGTGCCTGCGTGTGAGCGTGTGTGCATGTGCATCTGTGTACCTGTGCATGTGAGCATGTACATGAGAGTGTGTGCATGTATGTGCCTGCATGTGAGGGTGTGTGCATGTGCATCTGTGTGTACCTGTGCATGTGCGCATGTACATGGGAGTGTCTGCATGCATGTGCCTGCGTGTGAGCGTATGTGCATGTGCATCTGTGTACCTGTGCATGTGCGCATGTACATGGGAGTGTGTGCATGTATGTGCCTGCATGCGAACGTGTGTGCATGTGACTGTGTATGTGGCAGGGTGGCTGCTACAGCACCCCGAAGGACAATGTAGGGAACGGATGAGGGGTAAGAATAGAGGCTGGGTAGGCAGGGTGCTGGCTTCTCAGAACCTGGGGTGGGGTTGAGGGGGAGGAGGAGTCCTGAAATCTGAGCGGGGGAGGGGGGCACACAGTGGGGAGAACCCCCCACTGCCATCTGAATCTCCAGGCTCTGTGGGAGCCAGGGCCCGCCCAGCCGCCCGGCCTGGGATTAGGAGATTAACCCGGGTGAGGAGGCTTTAGAGAGGCGACGGCCCCGCCCACTGGGATTCCGGCCTGAGTCTCACATCGCACATCGCACATCCGGATCAATCTGCAGGCCCCACTAGGCCTGCAGGAGGTAGAGGCCTTCAGGAGGGGCTGGGGGAGGCCCCGCAGGGGTCAGGAGGCTCAGCCTCAGCTGGCCCTGACCCTGACTGTGCCCTTGACCCTTGCAGTGGCCCCAGCCACAGCACATGGCCGGTCTCGGCCAGCCCTTCCCGGGGCCCTCGAGGCTCTGGGGGCTGAGGGCTCAGCCAGGCTGTGGCCGGATCCCGTGAGTTAAGCTGCAGCAGGTGCGGCCGCTGCCCTGCCCCAGGGGTGATGCCGAGGGACCTGGGCAAAGGCCTTGTGGTCCCAAGCCCTCCTCCTGCAGATGATGACGCAGGCCCTGGGCACCTAGGCGCGTGGGCCCCCTGGACAGGTTTGGGGCAGAGGGTGGTCCAGCCCCAGCAGAGTCCCCAGAGATGCTCCTGGGCATGGACGGGGTGGTGGGAGGTGACACAGCCCTTTGGCCACCAGCATGGGGCAGGGGGATAGTGAGTCCTGCCCTAGGGAGCCCCGGGACTCCACAGGAGGGCAACCACCTGCCCATCCTACCAGTCACTAGCTGCCGAGCGACCCAGGCCCACCACTAGCCACCCCTGGTGGCAGCTCAGGTGTCTCCCAGCCCCCAGATAGGGGTCTCGGCCCTGCAGGGCTTGGCTGGCCTGGGCACGTGGAAGGGTCAGGCCATCTCTACGGTCAGGGCGTGGTTCTCAGTGCCAGTGGCCCCTCCGTGGACCCTAAACCAGTGGTAGCAGGGCTCATGGGAACATTCTCCCACCGGCCACACTGAGATCACCACCCTCCCCAGGGCCTCGTCCTGAGGCTATGCAGCCCCCGTCTCCGCCTCCCCCCATGTCTGTCCTCCCGCTCCCCCCTCACCCTCCACAGAGCCCACAGCGGGACTGCCAACTCCACTCCCAGGGACACGGCGGCCCGAGGCCAGCAGCGAGGACTGAGGGCCTCAGGCTGGGCAGCTGGGTAGGGGCCGGGTGGACTCTCAGCTCGGACAAGCTCCAGCTCAGGGCTTTGGGCAGAACTTCAGTCTCCACCTGCCTGGGGCTGGCCCAGCAGGGAGAGCCCAGGTGGGGCTGTCTGGGGGGCATTCCAGCAGGGGGGAGGAGGGAAGGGAGGCAGCTGGCAGGGGCAGCACCCAGTACAGGGGGAGGGGCTGGCGCACAGCAGATATCTGGCAGGTCCTCCCCACAGGGGCCTCCCTGGGAGCCTGGGGGTTGGGGACCCAGCCTCCCTCTGCCCTGCCGGCCACACCTGCCTGAGGACGTCCGTCCTGCCCTTCCTCAGACTGTCCCAGCATGGGGTGGAGTGGCTCATCTGCTCCCTGCCTTGGACCCAGCACCCTCCCAGGACCCCACGCCCAGGTAGAGGCTGGCCTCCCCTGCAGCCCACCCTGGCCTCTCAGCCAGTAGCCTCCCTGCACCCTCCAGTCCAGAGAGGCCCTGGGTGCTGACCCCAACCACCCCATCCCCCTAGCAAGGAACCCACGTAAACAGATGGTGTATGTACAGAGCCCGAGCAGACCTGAGACCTGGCCCTGGTCCTGGCAGCATCCCTCACCCTCCGCAGGCTCCGCACCTGACTCCCCCACCCTCTGGCCCAGCTGTGGGTGGTCAGCCACACCTGCAAAATGGCCGCCGCAGGTACAGCCCCCGCCCCCTCTGGACCACAGAGCCACCGACCCTTCCAACCCTCTGCTGCCTTCTCAGACCGAGGGGCCGGCAGGGGTGCGCGCTGTGCCTCCGCGGGAGCTTGTGCTCTGTCAGCCGTGCGCCCCGGGGTCGGGCCGGTACCATCGCCGCACGCCCCCTCCTCTCCACTAGCCCTAGCGTGCCTTTAATCCCAGCAATGTGGGCAGCCCCGGGAGGGGCGGCCGCTCAGGGAGGGGCCCTGCAGTCTCTGGGGAAAAGTCCCCATTCCTGGGGACGTGGGCGCGCATCGGGTCCGCGCTAGGGCGACGTCGCGCTCGTGCCCAGCAGGCCCCATGACTTGGCATTCCCTCCTCCCCTCCCCCTCCAGCCCCTGCGGCCAGCGGTCCCCCGCCCACCCGGCACCCAGCGCCCCACCGCCCCGACCCTCCCCCCAGCGCCGATGCTGCCCTGGCCCCTTCCCAAGCGGGAGGCCGTGCCTCTGTGTGGGGAGGAGGGGCGGCTTAAAGTGGCGTGCAAGGGTCTTCGTGTGCGGCTCCTTCCTGTCATCCCAGCCCGGAGCACCGCCACCCGCGGCCCCCTCCCCCGCGCCAGACCACACCTGTTACAGGGGCGCTGGCCGCATAGACGCAGGCCCTGTTCGCTGGCGGCCCCTCCCGGGCGGTGGGTCTTTCTGGAAGGGAGCTGGCGTCTCCCGGGGAGGAGCGGGGCCTGGGGATGGGGTGGGCAGCCACCGCGGTGCCCACGAAGCGGGTGCCCAGGGCCTGGCGACGCAGCCCCCGCCCGCCCCGCCCGCCCGCCTGTTTTGCTCGCGGCTCCAGCATCCGCCCTCCCCCCCCTCCCGGGGACCAGAGCGGCTCCCCGTGCCCGACGGTCCCACACGCGCTCCCCTCGGACCCGGGCGCTGCAGCCGCGCCCCTCCCCTGTGCCCCTCCCGCGTTCTCGCCCCTCCCCCGCCGGTCCCAGCGCAGCGGGGTTCGCATCCTCGCTGGGTGGCTCCTCTCCAGGGGCGGGGTGGGGCGGGGGAAGGGAGGATGTCTCCAGGATCCCCACGGCGGTGTGCGCCCTCCCCCTGGCGACCCCCGCCCACCCAGGCCCAGGGTCCCGCCGCCGCAGAGGCCGCAGCCAAGCGACCGTTCCCGCTGTGCACCAAGGGCAGACACCCCTGAATTTGCCCCTTTGTTCTCTGCAGGCAAAGAAGAGGATGGGGGAAGGGAAGGGGCCTCGCGCTGCGGGCCACAGGGAGGCCGCGCAGGGGCCGCGCTCCCCGGGCCAGGGCGCGGTTGGAGCAGGCTGGGGGCCGCGTGCGGGCTCGGGGTGCAGGCTCCGGGCGCGGGCGGCGGGCGATCAGGCGGGCGGCGGCCTTACCTCTCCGGCGTCACCGGCGGCGGCCCCGCATAGGCAGCGGCGGGTCACTGGTCCTGCAGCCCGAGTGCCGCGCTCGCCGGCTGCGCTAGGCGCTGTGACGGCGGCACCGCGTGACGGGCTGAGCGCCCCCGGCCCGGCCCCCCCGCGCCCCTCCCGCCGCGCTGGTTGGCTGCGCGCGGCGCCCGAGCCCCAGCTGCCAGCTGGTTTGTCGCACGGGCAGAGGGACGGGCGTCGCGGCCGCCGCGGAGATGGGGCTGGGGCTGGAGGGGGCTGGGGCCGGCTGTGACGTCACCACTGACACCACGCGGGCTCCGCGGAGAGGTGGGGGACACACGGGGCTCTGTCCCCTCCCCCGCCGCAGCCCGGCGCACTAACCCCCTCCCCGACCTCTCCCAGGGGAGGGACCCTGCGCGCCCAGCTCCAGGCCCCTCACCCACCTGAACCCGCCCCGCGGACCCGCGCTGGACCCTCCCCCGCCCTGGCCCCTTTCAAGTGAAATCACAAAATATCCACCTGCCCCCGCGCGGGAGGCCGACCGCACAGACGCATCGTGGGGCGGACGGAGCTCGAGGGGCTCCCTGCGCCACGGAGGGGACGTAGGGGCGGGTCTGGGGTATGGTCGCCCGAGTGTAACAGGTGGGTCTTAAAATCGCACCTTGCGCAGGGCCAGGACGCGGGAGGATGGAGGAGGAACGAGCTGCGCAGACAGCCCCGCTCGCGCGGATGATGCAACCCGGCCCCGCGCGCCGCCTGCCCCACTTCCGCGGGCCGCACGCCTTGTCTGTCCAGCTCAACGTCCCTGACCTCCCCGCCACGCGCTGCCCTGGGTCCACATTAGCGAACCCCAGCCTTTGTCGCCTCCCCCGCCCCCACCCGGCCACCTTCCTGGTCACCCGCTGACGACCCGCATCTCCGTGGGGCCACCAGCCTCCATCAACCCGCCCCCGCCCCGGGGCTGGGCAGTTTTGACGGGGCCCCGGGTCAGCTCGCCCAGGGGGGACCTCCCGCACTGCGGCGCGGTGGGCGCGGTGACGTCATGCCACCCCGAAACAGGCTCCAGGGTTCCCCAACCTAGCCCAGCCACAGCATCCTCAGCACCCGCAAGGCTCGGCGACCTCAGCGCCCCGCAGGTGCCGGGGCAGCGCTGCTCACCGCCGAGTCCACGCTGGGCCCAGCGGGCAGGTGCGTGGCGTGGGCGCCAAGAAACTGGGCGGCAGCAGGTGCAGGTCCAGACTGCGAACGAGATCGGCCTCCCCCGCCCCGAAACTGCTAGACAGCAATGGAGATCAATTGTTCTCCCCAGCCTTGGTAGCAACAGTGACATCGTCTGGGCCCCCTAGAGTGGAGTCTTCATCACTTCCATTTTCGTCATGCTCAGTGATCTGGTCAAGTTCTCTGTGTATTGACGCAATTGACGTTTTTCTACCAATTAATTTCACATGTGACATTTTTCTAGGAATTAACCCATGTCGTGTAAATGTTTGAATGACTGGCACATTTTCTTATATCTATTGGTTCTGTCTTCATCTCTTTTTATTCTGGATTTCATTTATTTGCATTTTTTTCTTTTTTGAATATATAGTTTTAGATATGTTCAAAGGTCCAAATTTTAGTTTTGTGAGTCTCCTCTTTCCTTTATTTCATTTATTTCTGTCCTCACCCGCTTTCTTCCTTCTTTCGCGGTTCTCTGGATTTGATCTGTTCCTCTGTCTTGAACTCACGCTTAGTTCAGTTTTAAACCACTCCCCTGATAGGTCTGCAGAATTTCTTCTGCAACACTACCTTAGCTGGGTCTGGAGAATTTGGATACATGACCATTTCCATTATCGCCCGATCTTGAGTATTTCTTAACGTCCCCGGTGACTCCTCAAGAAACCCATGGGCTATTTACCTCCACCGTGGACTGTAGTCGAACCCACAGATGAAACGCGCACAGCCGAGCGTGGACTGTAGCCGACAGCCGAGATATGGAGGTGCAAAGCCGCGCGTCGACTTTTACCGAATTGACTTCTCTAATTTTTCATTTATCAAAATAAAATTTTGGCCGGCGCGTGTGCTCACGCGCTTAATTCCTAGCACTGTTGGGAGGCCGAGCGGGGCGATTGCTCAAGGTCAGGAGTTCAAAACCAGCCTGGAAACCAGCCTGAGCGAGACCCCTCTCTACCAAAAGATAGACTAAATTAATTGACAAACTAAAAAATATATAACAAAAAAATTAGCCGGGCATGGTGGCGCATGCCTGTAGTCCCAGCTACTCGGGAGGAGGCTGAGGCAGGAGGATCGCTGAGCCCAGGAGTTGAAGGCTTGGCTGTGAGCCAAGCTGCAAGCCAACGGCACTCCACTCTAGCCTGGGGCAACAAAGTGAGACTCTGTTCAAAAAAAAATAAAAATCAAAAAATAAAAAATAAATTGTGAAATTTAAATAAACATAATGAAAAACATATTATGTCATACCTGTTAACTATTCTGATTAACAGACAACTAAGCTCCTGTAAAGGTAAAACAAGCTTTCAGTGCTTTCCAGCTTCCTCATCACAATAGAGCAAAACGGATCCTATGAGTGCGGTCTTGTGGGCAAGGTTTCGGGCCGGTGAGCGCAGTACTGCAGTGCGTTACTTTATCTTTTTCTGTTTTTTACTGTTCTATATATTAATTATAACCCTTTTATAGCGTTTCTAATTTAATGCATATTGTGGGAGAACCAAGTCTATGTTCAGTCAGGTGCTGGGGGAAGCCAGTGCACCCTAGCATGGGTAACCTTTGGGGTGCTGCCATAAAGGGACCAATCGACCAATGGTGCGGCAGGCAGAACCCGAAAACCACAGGGCTCAGCGAGGGGCGCAGCCTCAACTGCCATGCCCAGGAGAGGAGAGAGCTCAGCGCTGTAGGGGCAAGAGGCCTCAGGGGAAGGATGCAGCCAGGGCACAAGCTCCTGCACCTCACTCCTCCTCCCATGGACCTGGCAGAGCTTTGGCTGACCCCAGGGGACCTGGGGGACAGGGCAGGTCTCCTGAAGAATGACCAAAGGGGACTTGCGGAAGAGCACAAACGGAATCCAGCAGCCCAGTCTGCACGGTGCTGCACGGGCCCACACCACGGTCTATTTCCACAAATGCCGCGCATGTGCAAAAGGTTGCATTCTCTGTTTAGACGGGTACCATTACCAGCTCAAACTTATTCAAGTGCCATCGGATCAGAGATCTGGAGGTTCCTGCTCATTTTTGGTCAGCTTGAAGCTATTAAAGTAATTAATTTTTATTAAAATCTCCCAGGCAAAATTGTTGAAGTATTAACTTCTCCCTGCAGTTCTGGCCGAATGTTGCTGCTTGTGCACTGAGGCCAATATTCTGTAGATATTCCCTGATTTTGCATGATGCATCGTCATCCACGGCCCCTGTATCAGTGTGCCTGTGTGTCCTTCCTCTATCCCTTGGGCTTTTGTTGGGAGTTTTTTAGCCTGAAGACTTACAATGTAATATGTTAGATGTCAACCCAGTTTTTCTTTTGTTTCACATTTGCCACATATATCGTGTGCGTAATGTGGTGTGTCTGCACGTGTGTGTTCATGTGTGCACCTGTTGTGCATGTTGCCGTGTGTGATTTGTGCGCTGTGTTGCATTTGGCGCGTGTGTGGTACATGTGTGCACACCGATGTGGTCTTTTGCCAACTTCTTTTTTATTTTTCTTTATCTGATCACTTTTCGCCTTCCAGGCCAACTTCTTTATTTTAAACTGTGTAGTCTTTTTTCTTATCCAGTATCTCCTTTAGGCACCCAGTTGTTTAGAATCCTTAAAATCTAACCTGATTTTCCTTTTTAATTGAATTTAATCCATTATGTTTATAATGATAACTGTTACCGTCGAGACAAGTTTCTCCTCTTCCCCGGCAAAAGCCGGGGCATGTCAGAGGTACGGCGCGTGCTCCCACCCGCTGCACAGACTCTTCTCATGTCCTTTAATCAGGGACGCCATCGGCCAGCCAAAACCTCGGAAGGGTCCATGTGAAGGAAGGAGAGCAGGCTGTTCCACCTTGGCTGCCTCCTTCATGTCTCGCTTCTCGGGCTCGGGTCCCAGGCCCCCCTGCCCACAGCAGCCCGACCCCAGGTCACCCCCGCCCTCATGCTGATGCCAGGAGCTTTTGATAGCCATGCCCTCTGCTCCACCGCTCCCGGGCCACGCTTTCTCTCAAGCTGGTCCCTGTCCTGGGTGTTGGGTTGCTCTGGCCTGTGGCTCCAGCTGCGTGCCGCGACAGCAGCATGCTCTGGCGGGCACGCAGGGCTGGTTCGCCGGAGGCCGGCCGCCCTGCTAAGCGCCCTAGTGTGCACGCTGGCTCACAAACCGCGCGTCACCACTGCCTTGCTGCCTGCTGCCCCCAGAACTTCATAGGAGGAGACACTGCACCCCGAACTGTGCGCATCATCCCACGTGGGATTGAGATGTTCTCCCTGGGCAGTTTGTGGCTGTTTCCAGCAACCTTCCACCCTGGCAGGACCGGAGCTCTTTAACAGTCCTGGGGTCTCTCCAGGGGTCCGGGCACAGTATCCAGAGCAGGCAGGACCAACAGGGTTTCCCCCCCAGAGCCCTGGCGCACCTTGCCCAGCTGCAGCCCCTCCGCCCCCAGCCTTGTCTGTTGTCCAGTCTGATCCTCCAACGGGCCCAGCGACAGGATGTGTGGGGCCGGCCCACAAATGCAACACAGAGCACCTCGTGTGTCAGAACCAGGGAAGCACTGGGAAAGCGGCTGAGCTACAGAGCTCTTCCATCCTCCCACACAGCTTGTCCTAACTCCGCCATGCTGTTTGTGATTTGCAATTGATGTCATTCTACTGAAGGAAGTTAAAATTTCTAAGTTGCTAAGCATGGAATGTTACCCTTCCACCTTTGCAGTCAAGAATGCAGCTGTAAAGCAGATACAAGAGCTTTCCCACTTATATGCAAAACACAATAGCATCATCTGTGGGTGCTGGTACATTGCGTGTTATATGCGCCACGGAGACAGTGGACACGATGCGCCGAATAGAACTCCCGCGTTCTGTTACTCGGCAGAGGCATGTCCCACAGCACTGTCTGCCCCACGGTGCCGACCGGAAGGAAGGATGT